TGCAGACAGAAAGGGGTGTGGTGGAAGGGGGCAGACAGGCTGGGGGACAGACTGATGGACAGGAGCTGTGGGGAGTTGCCGGGATGGACAGACAGACATTGGTGTGGGGCAGGGGAGGAGAGGGGACAGGCTGGTGGACGGGAGCAGTGGGGGGCTGCAGACAGAAAGGGGTGTGGCGGAAGGGGTCAGACAGACAGACACCGGGGAGTGGCTGGTGGGTGCAGACAGGTGGGGACGGACAATGGGTCGGAGATGGGGTGGGGGAACCGATGGGTGTAGGGATGTGTGGTGCCGACCCTGGGGCAGAAAGGAGACAGGTCTGGGTGTGCAGGAGGGGGCAGAGAGACACAGGTGGGAGAGGGGCCAATGACCTGACTGTAGATAGGGCACAGATAATGGGGAGGTGCAGGGATTGGTGCCAGATGGACAGACAGACGGACAGGCAGGCTGGGAGCAGGCAGAGAGCTGGGTTTGGACCAGCCAGCCAGTGGTGTGTGGGCAGGGCTTGAGAGGGCCGACAGGATAAACAGCGTCCAGGATGGACAATCAGAAAGGAATCTGGCGGTGGGGGGAAGAGTGCTGGCCCTGAGATGGACAGAGTGATGGTTGCCCGTTAGGGTACAGTGTGTGGGTCTTGTTGGGTGATTCCTGTTTCTCCTTTAGAGTCAGGCGATGATCTAGTGGTCAGTTTGGAACTTGGGACATCCATGGGCAACTCCTTCCTCTGCCACAGACCCCCTGTGTGACCTTGGGCAGGTCACTTAGTTGGTCTGAGCCTCCGTTTCCCCATCTGTAAAATGGGGACAATAGCACTCCAGGGGGGTGATGAGAGAATAAGTATTGTGAGGTGCTTGGATACTATGGTAACGGGGCCAAAAGGAGAGGAGCGTAGGGGTAATATTTTGTGAGTAGGATGTCAGTGAGGGCAGAGCCCTATCAGATGGTAGCCAATACACAGCGGGAGCCAGGAGACAGGAGGGAAGGGCTGGCAAGTTTTCTAGGGAATATGGCAAAACCCTGATTTTAGAGAGAGTGTGTGTGTGTCTGATTTTGTCTCTGGGACGATTTGAACACACAAGGCCTGTGTGAGTGCAAAAAATACAAATCTGGCTGAAGATGTTTTAAATATGACCTATGGACTGAGTACAACAGGGACTTGTTGTTAACCCAGCTCGCGCGCGCTCTCTCTTTTGGCTGGCCATGCAGCGAGGGAAGGGAAAACCAGATCTGTTTACATGTGAAAAAGAAAGTAGAGCATAATAGCCGTTAGATGGAAAGGGTTATTAAGTCATGTCATAGTCCATCCCCCCTCTAGCAATGTACAACTGTTCTCTTCAGTGTGTGGCCTCAGCCAGCTTGTGATTCATAACTGTAGATGAAGTCACTTGTGGCTTTTAATTTCTGCTAATGCTCAACTAGTCAGGACATGGCACTGGGGCAGAGTCTGTGCTGTGGCCACTGAAACATAAAATTCATACTGTTATTGGTATTAAAAAGTAATTTTGCATAAATCTAAGAGCTGCAATGGGAGAGTGCGGTTAGAAATACATATTTAAAAACTCTGATTTTTGGCAAACGCCTTTTGCTTATTGCAACCGACCGTTGTAAAAAATTGTCCTTCCCCACCGATGCTGTGGTTCTGTCTTGCATTTCCTTCAGTGTGGACAGTGAGAAGAGACAGGCTGACTTCACTTTCAGGTTCTCGTGCATGAGCACGGTGGTGCAAAATATGTGCTGCAAACAGCACAGGAGAGGTTGAGAGGCTATTGGCATTGGAAATCCTGGGAATCTTTTTACTAAGTTTTCTGAAATCTTAATTGAAATATTTTAATTAATTATTATTATTGTTTTAACAAAACCTAAACTCTTGTCCACGCTTGACCTGGCCTCGTCTCTCTCGAATTGTCCAGATGAGCGTCTCACCGCCGATGAGATGGATGAGCAGAGGAGACAGAATGTCGCTTATCAATATCTCTGTCGCTTAGAGGAAGCGAAACGGTGAGCGAGCATGGAAGGATGACTGATTCATTAGAGGGGCCCTGTCGGGGTTATGTTGACCTACCTTAACTGTCTCCTGTATAACAGGTTTTGCCTTCTAAATCAAACACCGGGCGTTTGGGCTTCTGAAGTCACTCCTTTTCCCCCAATGTTGGCATGCATGGGCTGATCTGTTTCTTGACAAGTGGGTCGTGACTCCTAGGGGAGGGGGAAGGGACATGAAAGGCAATAGGGGGGGAGTGGGGAGGAGTAACTGAAAACTGCTTACAATCTAAGGCCTGGTCTACACTACGACTTTAATTCGGATTTAGCTGCGTTAATCCGAATTAA